AAAAACTTACTGTCGTTGGCAAAACGATCGGCTGTAGTCCAGCAATCGGTACAGAAGACATTTGATAGTTGTTGCCGATTTTCACAGTATATCGCTTGGCACCGGTCAACGGTGAACTCAGTGGTGACACGGAAAAATTCCCAAACGAATGCTGAAATTGGAATCATTTATGAAGGGCAGACGGATATTCACACCACCAACTGAAGGAGCAACTTTCGTCATTTGATTGTTAACAAATTAAGTATCAGGGTGCTTTTCTGCTTAGTGATGCACCTTGCGCTTTTGGTAATTTACAAACAGGGTTTCTTTGGTGAGCCTGTAATGCCTTGTGATTCTGCAAATGGCATAAGTGAGCCACTTACAGGAGTTGGCATATATTTCCAAGATGGCCTTTACAAGCTTCGCTGAATACCACTGGGTGTCCCCACCCCTATCCAATTCAAACGGCGCCAATACCAAAAATGAAGTGTAGGCCTGCATGATCTATGCCCGACGTGGCGCTTCAGCATTTGATAGCGAAAGGGAGCTTCGTTAAATATTCACTCGAACTACAGGTACATTGTCTCTTTCGTGGCATAAGAGGAAGCAAGCCTATCGCTGTGTAGTCATCATTTTCGTACTCCTAGTCTTTACCGTCGTAGCAAGGGGGGGGGGCATTGCTACACCTATTGACGTCCATACCACGGAAGCCAGTGCCTTCAGTGTTCAATGCAGGGGCACGAAAGAGTATCCTTCCATGCTGATCAATGCCGTGGACTGCGCCATGTATTGGTATTGAACTCGGAATCGTAGAGGTTTTCGATTAAGACATGCAAGTTGTTAGCCGATCCTTACTTTTGGTCCTATCCTTCTTGGCCAACTGCCAGCGAGGAAAAGCTGAGGAGAGATGGTTGGCTTCAGCTGGCTTGAGTGGTAATCTAATGAGGGCTATGTGAATGGATGCAGCGCTCACGCTACGCCTATAGGTGAAAGGAGGTAAACAAGTGAGAAAGAGTACCGAAGACTATACTCCGAAACATCAAGGGCCATATAACAGCTCACTATAAAGGCTGACTAATATTTTGGGACCCATAACTTCTTTTGAAATATCTCAAATATTCACATCCACCCTGAAAAGATCACCAAAGTGTGTACCATCTCGCCGTGAAGTAGAAATATTTCAGACACCGGACAAACAGAACTCCCTCCTCTACCTGAACCGGTAACCTCTCACAAGTACGCACCTGCGAGCAGCTGTTAGTCTGTGAGCAGTTAACGGTTCATCCAGGGCGGGGTGAGGAGTGCATTGAGGTCATTTTGCGGCCGATTTGAGGAACGATGAATGAAAAAAGATTTTTCCCACTACAGTGAATTACTCCTCGCTCTACAACATACCTGCGCTTGTGGCTTCGGCAAAGTATGTCCGCTGCTTGCCCTGGGCAATGGTACGACGAGAGGCTTTGGAGAGGTACCGGTTGTCGTTTTCGTTTCTGGGCTAGATGCTGGCCGCTTCTGGAGTTCTGTTTCTTGACGGAGTCGCTCAGCTGCTAACTCGGCAAACATCATCAGTGATGACGACGCTTGTGTCATAAAATCTTCCGACCTGAAAATTTTCACTTGGCATGGATACGAAAAACGGATATTGCTGGAATTTGAGGTAAAACATTGCGAAGATTAGGACGCGAGCTGGTCCCTATTGATCAACTCAGTTGGAATGTGCCACGCTTCCTGCGCCCAACTTATAGTGTGGGGAGATACA